GGAAGTAGTGATATTTAGTAGAAAAATGGCAGTAAGATAAAACGTCAAAAAAAGGATATGAACAAGAGTTTGTTCCAGGTTTTTTGTCTGACCTAATATAATCCTTAAGCCAAATTGGGGGGCTTGAGAATTCTAGTACGTCTATGTGGAACAATAGCAATTGGAGAAGACTGACCAACTTGTAGTTGAGAATCAATAAGAATAAACACAACCTCTTCGGCATCCTTTTGATCAACCATATTTACCAGTTGTCAAGCATCAATAACATGATGGACATGAGCAGGTGAAGGCATAGGTATATTGGAAAGATTGTCTGCTGAAACAATAAACTCATTTGCTTCATAATGAGTTAGCAAAGTAGTCATACCAGGAAAGATTTTAGTTGAATTCTCCTTAGCAAGCATAAGAGGGGAAATCATACATGAAACACCATATTGCTGCTAATGAAACAAACATAATTCTCCAAATCATAGAGCTTGTAACCTTTTGATAATTCCATAACCTAGAAGAACAATCTTAGGATCTTGGGCCAAATATATCCTGTCTAGGTAAGACAATGGCAAAACACAAATAACCAAGTACCCTCATATGTGAAAAAGAAGGGTATCTAGCATGCAAGATCTCAAAGGGTACTTGTTCCCTATAACTATGGAAGGCATCCTATTTATAATGTAGGTAACAACTTCTACCTAACACCCCCAAAACTTAACTGGAAGATCACCCTGAAACCTAATGGCTCTAGCAGTCTCTAACATTTGTCTATGTTTCATTTCCACAACACTATTCTGTTGGGGTATGTAAGGATAAGATATCTGGTGTAAGATTCCATGCAGTTTGAACACGTCACCACATGTGCTATTAAAAAACTCAGACCCATATTCAGATGTGAAAAAATAATCCTTTTACCAAATTGATTAAGAATCATAGCAATAAAGGTTTTGAGTAATTCAAAAATAATAGACTTCTCTTAATAAGAAAGTTTATGTCCATCTTGAATGGTCATCAACCAAAGTAAGAATGTATTTCGTTCTATTGTAAGTAGAAGCTTTATATTGTCCCAGACATCCATATGTACCAAATGAAAAAATCCATCTGCTCTGCTATCACTGATTGGAAATGGAAACCTAATTTTCCTAGATAATGGACATCTATCACATTGATGTAGAACAAAAAAAGCCTTATTTGTAAAAAGTAAAAATATTTCTAAGTACATCCATGGGAACATGACCTAATCCTCTTCCTTAACAGTCATACATCTCTTATTCTCTAATGTATTGCTTTTAGTCTGACAATCCAACAGATAAAGCCCATCTAGCTCTCTACCAGTTATCTTCACTTTCACAGTGCAAAGATCCTGAAACACACAGAATCCAGGAAAGAACAAACCACAACAATTCAGTTCTCTTATTACTTTGGAAACGGATAAGAGATTGAATTCAAAAGTTGACACACACAACACATCTTTGATCACATCACCTCCTATTAACTAACAGTCACCAACATGTATTACTTGAGGAGAATCACATGTTGGCAATTTCACATTTCCTGAATTTCCTATTTTAACACCATTGTCACGACCCAAACCGATGGCCACGACGGGATACCCGGTACCTTACTCAACCGAGTACCAACATAACATTTCTTTTCGTATTATACTATCATAGATAACTGAGTCGGAGAGGCTGCCGTGATATAGGTATAATACAACATGTAATACCAACTTATACATAAGACATATGTGCCTCAAAGACCAAAATAACCACTTGTACACTGAACATAGGCCGACAAGACCATACAATCTTTTACATACATGACATCTGTCTACAAGCCTCTAAGAATACATATTTGTCAGAAAGGTCGGGACAGAGCCCCGTCATACCAAACAATACATATCTAAATCATACTGACCAAACAAGCAACTCCGGAGCAAATAGAGTGCACCAACATCTTTTGTTGAGCTGATCGCCTACTTGGAGGACTCTCGACCTGTCTATCGAGACCTGCGGGCATGAAACGCAGCGTCCCCGGGCAAAAGGGACGTCAATACAAATAATGTACCGAGTATGTAAGGAATAAAAATTAGTAAATAATAGACATGAGAAAAACATTGAGTAAAAGACTCGACATGTACGTCTGCATAGCTCTTTGAATCATTTCATTTTTATAACGTCATGCATATGCATATAAATATCATACCATGCATAGGTATATGTATCCATAACATCATCAAGCCTCTGAGGTCATCCCATCATATCATCTCGTCCACTGTGGGCAAAATCATCAACGTATACCAGCTGATCAGGTGGTGGTGCGTATATAATGTCGTAACCTTATCCCATATCCCATATACATATAATATACTCGTACATAATGACATCTGGTCATGGGTCAATGTACATGTATAAATGCATGAAATGCATAAGAATTACGTTACTAAGATTTCTCGGAATATCATAAAATCAATATGCCTTTCGAATAAACTTTATCAAATACGTATTTTTCTGAGACCCATGAACAGAAGCTATAATAATAATTCACATGGAGAATCAAGAATATAGACACCTCTAATACTTTAATGAATAGAGCCATTTATGAAAATTATGTGTTTACTTGTTTCGTTTGTATCAAATGGATCATGCCAAAAGAAAGAAGGGATAGCCTTAACATACCTGAATCAATTTTCTTAGAATTTGCAATTTAAGATTTACAGAATCAAACAACCAACGTTATCTTATTTTGGTATGGAATATTTTTGCTCTTTGAAGAACTCACGGTCAGCCACTCTCTAAAGCGTGAATTGCACACATGAAGAACTCATTTGATTTATAATGTACACATGAATTCATTTGAAGAAACTCACGTTCTTAAGACTTAAAATTGCTCTCTTTCATTAGATGGATATGTGACTCATATGCTTAAGACTTAAAATGGCTCTCTTTCATTAAATGAATATGTGACTCATGTCTTTAAGATTTTCCAAATATCACCTCTCTAATCTTGCCACATAACATAATAACTTAAGAGTCACAATTCCTTGTGGTGGCTTGTTGCCACGTGGGGGAGGGTCTTATCTTACTCAATTCTTTAATTAATTACCCAATGATTCCTTAATTAATTAGGTAATCTCTCATTACCCAATAATTAATTAATTATCTTAACTTACTTAAAATATTATTCACTTTTAACATACCTTATACATCTTACTATTATGGTCATATAGTACATTGTATGGCACTAATCCATAAATATCGGGTATTTTAGCTCTGGCCGTATTTTATCTCAACATATTAAACTTTGACGAAAATTTATTTTCTTTGATTTGCTTACCCTCTCACCTTCACGAATTTACTCATCACTTGTTTGAAATAGCATAATGTTTATAATCTCAAAATAATCTCATTCTCGAACTTATGTCGATTAGCTTACGATGAAATTTTAACATACGAAAATGAGGGATGTACCATCTCATTTCCGAGCTTCTATCAATTTACTTATGACGTACTTTCACGTACGAAAACATGGGGTGTAACAACCATTGAGCAAGAACTTGTCATTACTCATCATGTGATTAGTGGCCGTAGTATCTACATTCATTTAATACTATTAACCTGTGGAGGAATATCATTACCTGCCAAGTGAGTACTAGCATTTGAAGTTGATACCTTGCTTAGCATATTCAGAAGCATAGAGTATTGCTCCTGAGTAAATGTTGGAGCAACAGTGCTCTGATGCATCACCACATTTGCCTTCTTTTTAGACTTAAAATTAGCAAGATAACCAATGAGCTTATAACAATTTACTTTCAAATCCCATTTCATGCCATAGGAGTCACACTTCATTAGTTTATAGCAATTATCCTTAGAGTGACATCTTAAATGACAAAACTCACATTCATTAGTATAATTCTTCTTTAGACTTAGAAGTGGTTCCTCCTTGTGATGTGAACATAGCAGTTGGCTCAATACCAGTGTTAGCATAGTAATTTCTGAAACTATCTTCTGGCTTTCATCCTGAACAATTATAGCCTACTCCTGGCGCATAGTAGGCAAACGTGTCTTCAACAGAATTTGATTACGAGCTTGGATATAGCCCTTATTGAGGCTCATGAGAAATTGATAGATCCTCTGACATTGCAAATGCTTAAGAAATTATTTAGACTTGGGACAACCACAGGGAGGGGCATAAGAGAGTCGTATTCATCACATAGATCTTTCAAACAAATAAAATACACTAATACAGAGGATGTGCCTTGAGTAAGAGTAAAAATTTACCTAGGGAACTGATATTCATGAGATTCGTTTACCTTGTCAAAACATTCCTCTAAGGCTAACCAAATATCACGAGTACTCGAAGAAAGCAGGAATCCCATAATTTTCATAGTTTCGGCTTGAAATCCTCCTTGCATAGAGTGTCGTCCACAAAGCCGAGTTTATCTTTCCCTGGCAGTAACAAATTCATAGCTCGACTCCAAATCATATAATTATCCATGCCGGTTAACAGAAATCCTATTGACATTGATCCAGGACCATCACATAGATGGAGATAAAGTAGATGATTATGGTCAATCACCATCGTTCTCCATTAGAAATACCGTTAGTAACTCCGCTTTTCTTTCTGACACCATCATCATCAATCACCATGAACAAACATTTAGGGTTTCTGCCACAAAAGGAGCTGAATTCCTCGAATTTAACCAGAAATATGCAAAAAATTGCCCAATTCAGCTTATTAGGGCTCTGATAGGATGTAAACTTTCATTGATTTACACTGATTATGAAGAACAAGTCACAGATGAATGAAGCGAGAAGAGGAATTGAGAATGGAAGAGGTGAAGTGAACAGAGAGAAAGCTCTAAGTATTTTGAGCTATGTAATATCAATTTCTACAACAAAATGAAATGTATGTGACAACTTATACTTCTAATTACCGACTACTAACAGATTACATTTATAAATAAAGAAATAACATAATTACCCCCGTAACTAACTAACAACTGAGGATTGTGGTGCAATTAACTAACTCTTTTTGCAAAAACACTCGTGATTGTTCCGTTAAATTTAACAAACTCCATTTTGAAGCCTGTTAATGGACACTAAAGCATAAGAAGTGCTCAGGATAATATAATAAGAACGAAAATAGATATACCTCTATGAGGTAAGGAACATTTGGGTTTAAAGCCCACATTATTACAAGGCACTCTACTTTTGTTTTTTCCTTAAGTTGTTGAACAATAAAAATCACCACCACTTTAACTAGAAAAACGAACAGTTCAAAAGATAAGAAAAGAAAAAACCAGCATATAACAAGCATTAAGATGCACCCATCTCTTGCTGAGTCTTGCTCTTGTGGATTTCTTGGGCAAAATTCACAAAGGGATGACAACACCTTATGTGACTCAGTCAGCTGCAGTTGGTACTTTCTGCAAATCCATTAGGATCTTCCTCTTTTTATTCATATATAATTTTCATCTGCACTCCAACAATCTTACCTCCCACCTTAGTAAGTTTAAACTGAAAGAACAGAACGTTAGAGTTAGAAACTCAGTACAACACATTCATATAGTTTAAAAGATGTAGGACATCTAACTTCAACTCAACATACTATTCAAGAGCGTTTTCCTCCTTATCGTAGATAAAGGAGGCAAACAAATTTTTTGTTTTCTGTTATGCAACAGATCAGATGCTGCTCTTTCAAAGTGATTGTCATTTTTAACTTATTTCTGTCAGCAATATCACACCAAAATTTGAAATCAGGACTCTTTTTTCACGTAATTAACAGGAACTGGGAAGAGCACAATTTCCTGGGAAACATAGTGTAAATACTTAGTTGAATATTACTAGGCTTATTTAGCTACATTTGCATATAATATAGGCTGCTTCCTTTTTCGATTTGGTTTTTTGACTGAGCCCTCAAAAGATGTAGGTAAGATGATCGTCTAATGAATTTCATTCTTGCTTCAAAATAATAGTTGGAAGAGCTCCAAAGAAATATTAGGTATTATGCGCAATGGTCGCTATACACCACTGTGAGCCTACACACCAGAAAAAGGCCCTAACTTGAAAATCACATGTAACAGACTTTATGAAATACTATTCTATACCATAGCTTGTTACGCTTCAAACAATATAACAGTCGTGCAGAAGAAATTTTAGTCGAATTTGAGTCGCCAAAAGGTGAATTCTCATCTAGTGGTAATTCAGCATAGTTTTCTATATTGGAAGTCAAACATTTAACGGATATAGAAAGTACACAGACACTTACATGTATTGAAGTCATTTACTTTAAGTTTGTCCCTTCCCAAAAGGTCTTGGAAATCCAGGATGCCCTTAAACAAATCCACAACGCGACGAGTACATCCATGTACCTCAATGAGCTCCAGCGTCTTACTAGTGTTAAATTCTTGAGGAATCTCTTTCAAAAATGAGCAGTCTCTGATTATTAGCTGCTCGAGGTTTGGGAAATGATCATTAGAGTCACTTTTCCAATACTGAAAATAGGACTGATCAAGGAGAAAGTACTTCAAGTTTTTAAATATCTCTGTTACTTTCCACTCATTGCCTTTAAAGGCACACTTCTTCAATTGGAGCACCTCGAGATTGGGCAACTTCCCAATAATGGCCATGTACTCCCACGGCAGATGAGTGGTGGTAAGTTTCAACTTCTTGAGACTTGGTGGCAGAGAATCTTGACTTGTAAGCCTAAAGAACGGACAAGTCCTTGAAGGATAATTGTTATCTGCAATACTTAGTGCCTCGAGCTCATCTAAATATTTAAGATTATCTATCCATTCAGGATCCTTAGAGAAGTCATGCCTAGTGCTGCGAATGGCCAATTTTTTCACTTTCTTAATCCCTTCAATTACTTCCTTTGTGCAACAAGAAGGACTCAACCCAGAAACAGTCAGTAAGTTTCCCAGAACCAAACGCTCAACTTCATTCCCTGATATCAACCCAGGAGAACATAGAGATATGCCTCTTGCATAGAGATACCTTAATTGAGACATTTGCCAAATCTCTTTTTGATAACTTATATAGTTATTAGAAATCCCTGGACGTGGACTAAAAATGAGAGTTTGTATATTCCAAAGATTGGAAATTGGTAGAATCTCAGACCAATCACCAGTCATCACAGCCAAATACCTAAGACGATAAAGGCCTCCTTTGAAAATATGGAACAAATCAACCATCATTCCCTCCAAGTCCAGTACTCTTAGTCGTTTGAAAAGAAAAGGTTCTAAATCTATTTCAAACCAAAAAAATCTACCCATAAAATAAAGAGAATGCGCTTTGCTATGGGTAAGATCAGCGGACCTCATGGAGGGATAAGAAACACTACCACTTGAATGAATTGACACCCACCTACGATCTTTAGGAAGATTTCTCTGTATTCCAGATGCAGAAATGGTGGCATCAGAAGTAACATACAAAAGATTCTCGCGTTCGGCTTCTCTCAAGCATAAATCATGAAAAAGATCATGAATCCTACATGTCTTGATATTTCCATCCAAACTTTGCTTGTCAATAATAACTAGATTTTTCCCAATAAGATCAAGTAAAACCTTGGCAGCCACTTTTTCCCATTCCTTTACCCCCTTTAGCTTTAAGAGTCCTTTTGCAACCCATAACCTTATCAACTTCTTCACAGAAATCTCTATGGCTTTTGGAAACACTCCAAAGTTCAAAAAACAAGCTTTCATATGAGAAGGAAGATGATTGTAGCTCAAATCGACCACTTCTAAACATCGTTGATAATCATCATTATTTACTAAAGAGCTCATATTTTTAGCTACTTTCTTCCACTCATCCAGTGTACTCTTGCTAGAGAGAATTCCAGCGACTGCAGTTATCATTAGCGGTAATCCTTTGCACTCTTTTACAACTTCCCTCCCAATCTCCTTAAATTCTACCGGGTAATCTCTTTTAGCAAACACCTTTTGGTGAAACAGATCCCAACTTTTATCTGGTTCCAGAAGATGCATCCTAATAACATCTTCAGGAGAGGTAGCGTGGTCAGCTACCGGCTGGTCTCGAGAAGTCAACACTAGTCGACTATTATTTTCACAATCTGGAAACCAATGAATCATCCTATTCCAAGCTTCTTTGCTCCATATGTCATCCACAATAATCAAATACCTTTCTACCTTCAAACTATTCTGGAAGATACCAGCTAAGTCTCCATCAGTTTTCTTATTAAGCTCTTCTTTCTTCGCAGTAGCATCTTGCAGAAGGTCTAGAAGCATCTTTCTAAAATTACAGTTCTCAGACACAGTAATCCATTTACGAATATGAAAGTATTGCTTAATAAAGGTATCCTGAAATATATCTTTGGCAAGAGTTGACTTACCTATGCCTGCCATCCCCACAACAGAGATGACTTCCAGTTTATTTGAGCGTCTCTTAAGTTTATTAATTATTCTATCTCTTTCAATGGTGCGACCCACCATATCGTCCTCAAGGATTGAAGCATGTGGTCGTAGAGAACTAGAACCATCGGTTGAAGAATTTCCAGCTTGCAAATTTTTGTTCTCCTTCTGCTTGATGAGCTGTGCCTTGACATAATCAATCTCTTGTGTAGCCTGCTGACAGAATTTACCAAACCTCTCGCTGGATTCAAATGGAAGGACTTCATTCTTCTCCGCGAATTGTTTCGCTAGTGATTCAACTTCATCTTCTGCTTCATATGCTACACCTTTGACTTTTACTTGCAAATCCGTTGTTGGTTCGCCATCAATGTTTTCAAGAGACTCTTGCAGAGAGCCAAACTTCTCATAGAGTAATTTCAAATGTTGTTTGTGACCTTGTAGGCATGATAAGTTGGACGTTAAAAGCTGCTCTATTGTTCCCATCACAGAATTTAGTGCAGCATAAGCAGCCATCTCTCTCTATAATTCTGCTGTGAAGGACATCCAGATTATAAATATTTGTAAATATAGCAATTTGCTAAACGTTGGCATTTAAAAATGATAGACAAGTTTTATAAATATCGACCAAAAGTGAAACTACATCACATTTAATAGCGGTTGTATACTTGTATTTCAAAATACTGATAGTTTCAAATCAAGATGCAAGATATATTGTTGAAGTTCCCTAACATTGTTTTTTGATAACCGTGGTGTCCGGGCCAGCTTGCGCGCACCTCGACTAATTCCACGGGATATCTGCCACCTCCCACCAGCAACAGGTATCAGATAACTCTATCCACCAAGGCTTGGATAGATAGGAAGAAATCACCTAGTATTTGCCTCCGCTGGGATTTGAACCTAAGACATGATGGTTCTCACCCACTTTATTGATCACTAGGCCACACCCTTGGGTGCTTGAAGTTCCCTAACATATAGCTATATTAATTGCTAATTGTAATTTGAATACAATAATCATCCTCCTTGCTGATTTCAAATTTATTTCATTAACTTTAGGTTCATAACAAACCAAATAGTTGTTAAGTATTTATTAAGAGACATGCATGTGACAAGACAACAACATACCCAGTATGATCTCACACGTGGGCATGCATGTGACAATACAACTCAAGAATTGTGATTTCATATACTACTTTGGTTTCAAAAATAATGAACCTTTTTTTCTTTTTAGTCAGTTAAAAAAAAGTGACCCATTTCTAAATTTGGAAAGAATGTAACTTTAAACTTCTTATTTTACCCATAATGAGATGATTTATAGTCACGCAAATATCTATAGATTTTTTTGGACCGCAAATTTCAAAAGTTTTCTCTTTAATTAAACTCCGCGCACAGTCAAATAAGTTCAAACAAATTAAAACGGAGGGGGTAATACTTTTACAAATAATAGCATTGTTGCTAACACTCTCTTCAATGTTTGAATGTTCACCCAAATATAATGTCTATCAAGGAAAATATTGGCTCCAAATATAAAGTAAACAGTGTTAATACTATAATATGTTTTAATGAAGACAAAATGATTAGTTTTGATCAGGGGCGGATTTAGGGGTGGAAGGGGAAAAATTACAATGTATATATAAGGCAAAATCTGTTTTTTACCTTTATATATTAAGTTTTGAACCCTCTTGACACAACCCAAAAGTATAACCTAGTGGTCAAAGGGGTTCAAAATCTTTGAAATGCCATAGGTTCAATTCCCATTAGGTTCAACTCCGCCACTGGTTTTGATACTGATTAGTATAAATTATCCTTGCAGGAGAAATTAGTCAATTGATTAGGCAGCCCACAAGTGTCAAGAAGTCCATGAAGATCATAAGAAGAGGAAGCTTCCCAGCCCAAAACCAGTCAAGACTCGAAGCAAATTCAGAATATTTAAATCAAAGTCTGGTTGATTCAAATGAAGCAAAGAATAATTACCAAAGTCAGTTGAGATTATTGAAGTCACTTCAAGTATCAAACTGAGTGTATTTAACTCCCTCGTTTCACTCGTAAAATTGGTTCCAAGTTCCAACATTCTCCATTAGGGCTAATCAAGTCAATTCCCTCATTAATGTAAGGAGCGGGCTCATTCAAATCATTGAAGATATTGGGGAAAGGCCACAACGTCTAGCTTTTCCTTGCCTATAGTATTCTCTTTTATTTTCTATTAAGCACTATAATCTTGTATAGTGATTGTATCAAAAAACAAAAGAGAAAGGTGAGAGTGAGTTGGGTATGGAAGCCAAAAGGAAGCAAATGTAGTTGTAGAAAGAAAGAACAGATTATTACAAGACATGGCGAGAACTATGTTTGTAGAAAGTTCTATCCCAACCTAATTTTGGGCTGAATCTGTAAGTACGACTTGACACATTTTAAATCGATGTTTAATCATACTAATTCTTAAGAAAACTCCATATGAGTTATGAAAAGGAAAGAAGTCAAATGTCAGCTACTTTCATCGCCTTTGTTAGCAAGTATTTCATACTCAACAACGGTAAGAACAATCTCGGAAAGCTTGATCCAAGAAGTGATGAAGGAATATTTATGGATTTCTCCATATCTAGCAGATCATACAGATTATTCAACAAAAGAACCTTACATGTGGAGGAATCAGTTCATATTGTTGCAGTTTCTTTCCAAAAGACAATAACATAACTGTTGATGAACTAGATATACTTGCTCCTCAAAATATTAATACTCCTGATCAAGAAGAAAATGAAGTTGAGAATTGTATCGACCCAATTAGTTGTTTTGAGTTTTAGCACTCCGTTTTGTGATCCAAGACTTGAGTAGCTTCATTTGATGTTTTATGGCGTGTGTGGTTGATTTTAATTTCAAGAAGTCCGGGTGTATTTTAAAAGAAGAATTCTCTTTTTAGAAACCTAAGTTGCTATAGTTGACTAAGGTCAACATTCTTAGTAAATAATCCCGAATTGATATTTTGATGGTTCCTTTAGTTTCGTATGATTTGATCTTGTATTATGTTTGGTTTGGGCCTCGGTGACCTGTGGTCATTTCGGCACTTCTCGTCGAAGTTGTTTTTTATGTTATGATCTCTCGAGCAAGTTTGAATAGACTACATTGACTAGTTAGGATAATTGGAGCGGCTCGGGTGAGTTTCGGATTGTTTTTCGAATATTTTTGCACTCATCGCAGCAATATTCTTCTGCTGGTATGCAGTGCTTCGCGATCGCGGAGGAGGTCTCGCAATCACATAGGGTGTTTGGGCTCATCAGGAAATTACCCTACGCCAACGCTGAAGGTTTGGGGAAATGACCTTTATGAACTCGAAGGCTTCCAGCACTGACCTTCGCGAATGCGACAAGGGTGTCGCAAACACGATGCACCTCGAGCCCAGGGGTATAAATAGTGTTAAAAATTCGGATTTAGCCATTTTCACCATTTTTGAGACCTAGACCATGGATTGGGGCGATTTATTAGAGGAATTTTACCTCAACTTCAAAGGTTAGTAATTTTAACTAAGTTTTGACTTATTATCATAATTCCCCATAGATTTAACCCCTATAGCAAGCATTTTAAAGTGTAGATAATGAGTTTTTGGATCTGAACTTAAGAGAGTGAATTTTGAAATTTGGGACCTTAATTTGAGGTTGGATGTTGAATCTAATTACATATTTGGATTCGGGGATGAATGAGTAATTGAGAATCAGTCCCGTTTTTTGGATTTGGACCAAGTGTGCCAGGGTTGACTTTTTGTTGACTATTGAGAATTCACCAAAGATTGAAGCTTTATTGATTGGCGTATTTTCTTTAGCATTATTTGACTTTCTTAGACCGTATTTGGATAGGTTTTGGTTGTTTGATTGAGGATTTTAAAGGAAAAGCAGTATTTGAGGGTTAAAGCTTTATCGGCAGAAGGTAAGTCTCTTGTTTAACCTTGTAAGAGAGAATTTTTCCCCTAAGTGACTTATGTGCTATGTGTTATTTGTATTGGAGGCTACGTATATGCGAGGCAACAAGAGTATATACTTGTGCTTGTATTTTTTTACCATGTCCGGGTAGCTTAAGCCTTTAATATGCCTTGTTTGGATCAAATGAGTTACTTTCACATGCTTCTTTGGCTTCCAGGGCTACTTGGCTATTTTTATTCAAGTTAAAGACCATGATTAGAAGTATAATTATGTAATGAGTATTTTGGGCTTTTGAGATATGTTGTTTTACATGATTAGCCGTAGATATCTCTTATTCTTGTAAAAATTTATCTGCAATCTCTATTTTATTGTCATGGTGTAACTTATTATATTATCTCATGTGCATACACTTAAGTTGGAAGTTGGATATTGTAGAGAGATTTGAGGACTTTTGACCCTATGGACACTATGAGCGGATATAAATTATTGCTTGCGATCTACTTGATTGGATCGACGCTCGGATTTGGATCCATCCCTTCGGAATCAGGTGATTGCCCATGGTTAATACTAGCCTTGTGAGCGTAGGCACTCAGATTGGTGCTTGGTTGGACACATGGACTTATGTCAGGCACATAAATTTGTGTTTGCGTTGCATTGAGAGTGAGTCCAAAGTATGCATAGACATCCTAGACACATCTAGAAGCATGCATATAAAATGCTAAAATGATAAGTATCTTGTTTACATGTTATTGTTGATGCCTTTCGTTCCTTACTTGGCTCTTTACCTTAGATGCATGTTTAATATTCAGTTTTGAACTCTTATGTCGGAAAAGTATGTCTAATTCTTTATGATATTTGCTCTTTTATCTCTTGTACTTGTTTAATGATATTATGCCATATTTCTCGCTTATTTATGATGTTATCTTGATTATTGGGCTATTAATAAGTGTCATTATCGATGCCTCGCTACTACTTCTTCGATGTTAGACTTAATACTTAATGGGTACACATGATTATTGTACTAATCCTACATTTCGGTATATTTTATGCAGATTCTGAGGCAGGGGCTAGCGCTACTCACCCAGCTGTGTAGGCTTGTTTGTTGGAGACTTCATGGTTAGCTGTTTTACTTTACTTGATCCGCACCACATGGAGTCCCTTCTCTTGACTGTCTATTCCCGTCTGTTTATTTCCTTCTTATCAGACAGATGTTTGGATTATATTTGTATACTCTATTTAGATGCTCGTGCACATGTGACACCGAATTTTGAGATGTATTGTATATGGTTGTTGTCGTGTTTAGACACCGTATAGATTTATATATCTTATTACGTTGTTTTGAGACTTATTCTCATATTATTTATATTATGACTCTATTAATTTAAGTAAAGTATGTTATTATTATTGATTTTGGGTGTTGCTTGCCTAGTAAATGGAGTTAGGCGCTATCACGACCTTTGGTCGGATTTTAAATCGTGACAAGTTTGTATCAGAGCACTAGATTCTAAGGATCTTACAAGTCACGAGTAGGCCAAATAGGGTTTTACGGATCAGTACGGAGATGTCACATATGGTGAGAACACACTCTTTGACATTAGTTGGTGCCAGAGAGGTTGTAACACCGGCCGGAGCCGGTGGGGGTAGGGCCCGAGGCAAGGCAGGAGCTCCCATTAAGGGTCGCATAATTGCACCTAGAGGTGGAATGGCTTGTGGTTGTTAGGGTGCTACATCAACGGACCCATCCATGGATCGAGAGGAAGGTCTAATTAGGGAGCAAGTTGAGATTTCTATAGGGCTTGTTGATACGCCCAAGGAGGCTTTGGCCAAGATGGTCAGTTTCATTAATTCTATGACTCAAACTTAAGCGGTTTCAGTTGCCCCAATGACTTCTCAAGTTGGAGGGGGGTCTCAAACCCTAGGTACTTCACAGGTGGTAGCTCCGCCGTTATTTCATCCCGCGATGTCTGCCGAGGAGCAGAAGAGGATGGACCGGTTTCAAAGACTGCACCCTACTCACTTTGATGGTGGTCCCATAGAGGATACCCATGATTTTCTTGACAGATGTCGTAAGGTGCTTCATAGGGCTTGGTAGAGTCCAATGGAGTGGACTTCACTACATTTTAGCTGACAGGGTTGACTAAGAAATGGTGCTAGACCTATGATTAGGGTAGACCAGTAGGTTCATCTCCTCTTACATGGACTAGTTCTTGCATCTTTTTCTGGAGAAGTACATCTCGCTCACAAGGAGGGATGAGCTGAGGGGTCAGTTTAAGCTTCTTCAGAAGGATTGTGTGTCAGTGAATAAGTATGAGAGGAGATTCACAGAGTTGTTCTGTCATGCGGCTTTTTTGATCCTCGCCGAGGCTGAGAAGGCGAGGAGATGTATTGAGGGTTTGAGTTACGATAGTAGGGTTGCTATGGCTAGAGGGTCCGAGATTGGTACTACATTTCATCAGGTAGTTGAGATTGCGCAGAGGATTGAGCGCATTCGCATTCAGGTTAGAAAGGCTATGATGATAGAGAAGAGGCCTCGACGTTCTGAGAGTTTCAGTGCTGCTTCGTCAAAAGGTAGAGGTCATTTTGGGGGAGGTCATTTCAGCAAGCCAGTGCATTCTAGTCATCATCCCGCACATGGTACTCTGGTATCCAGTGAGTTCATATCGCACTCCTTTTACTCAGGTTCTTCAAGTGGTTATTTGGGTCATCACGGGCAGACTCAGTTTCAGCATCCTTCATATGCTAGAGGTTGTTACGAGTGTATAGAGTTGGGCCATGTGAGGAAGTATTGCCCTATGCTTGTTAGAGGCCCATCATAGAAGAGTTCTCAGGTTGTGGTCCCCATACTAATTGCTACACCACTTTCAGAGGTGAAGGCCATACAGTGAGGGGTCATCCTAGAGGTGGAGGTTAGACAGGAGGTGCTCCATCTAGATGTTATGCTTTTCTGGGTAGACATGATAAAGATATTGATTTCTGCATTGATTTGGTTCCGGACACTCAGTCTATTTCTATTCCATCATATCATATGGTTCCACCTGAGTTAAAGAAATTGAAAGAGCAGTTGCAAGATTTCCTTGGGTTCATTAGACCAATTGTTTCTCCTTGGGTGTGCTAGTGTTAATTTTAAAGAAGAAAGATGGTCTATGAGGATGTATATTGATTATCGTCATTGAACTAGGTTACTATCAAGAACAAGTATCCATTGGCTCATATTGATGATTTGTTTGATCAACTTTAGGGTGCCTAGGTATTCTCCAAGATTGGCGTGAGATCGGGTAATCATAAGGTGAAGATTAGGGCATCAGATGTCCGTAAGACAACTTTTCATACTCGTTATGGTCTTTATTAGTTTTTGGTGATGTCTTTTGGTTTCACTAATGCTTTAGCGGATTTCATGGATTTGATATATCACACATCGTACTGGAGTGTGATGGATGAAATGGAAGCTTGCATTCAGTGTTTTATGTGATAATAATATGCCGCCAAGACTTAAGGATAAATTTTACAGAGTGTTGGTTCGACCAATTACGCTATATGGGGCTGAGTGTTGGTCAATCAAGAACTCCTTAGTAGAAAATAAAAGTAGCAGAAATGAGGATGTTGAGATGGATAAGTGGGTGTACTAGGAGAGATAGAGATAAGATTAGGAATGAAGCTTTTCGGGACAAAGTGGGAGTGGCCTCTATGGATTACAAGATGCAGGAGTTGAGACTGAGATGGTTCGGGCACGTAAAGAGGAGAAGTATTGATGCTCTTATTAAGAAGCATAAGAGGTTGGCCATGGCGGGTTTGAAAAGAGATCGAGGTAGGCCAAAGAAGTACTAGGGAGAGGTGATTAGGCAGGATATGACACGGCTTCAGCTTACTAAATACATGACCCTTAATAGGAGGGTGTGGAGGTCAATGATTAAGAAGGAAGGCTAGTAGGTAGTTGAAAGTTAACCAGTAGTTTTAGAAACACTTATATTCCTTCATATTCTTAGATCTATATCACGGCATGGGGTTTAGTTCGCTTTAGTTATCGTATTCCTTGTTGTTACTATTTGGTACTTCTTCTTCACCCTTTCTGAGCCGAGTGTCTATTGGAAATAACAGTTTTACCTTTACTAGATAGGGATAAGGTCAGCGTACACACTACCCTCCCCAAACCCCACTTGTGTGAATATACTGGGTTTGTTGTTGTTGATGAACCGAGTGTTCAAGCCTTATTTGAATTCTTTTGTGATTGCATTCATTGATGATATTTTGGTTTACTCTTGTAGAGTTGAGGAGCATGAGCAACACTTGAGAGTTGTACTTCAGACTTTGAAGGATCGTCAACTTTATGCCAAGTTTTCGAAGTACGAGTTCTCATTAGATTCGGTTGTATTCTTGGGTCATATTGTATCTAGAGAGAGTATCAAGGTTGATCCTAAGAAGATTGAGGCAATTCTAAATTGTCCTAGACCTACTTCAGCTTCAGAGATTCGGAGTTTCTTGGGTTTAGCAGGTCATTATAGTTGTTTCATATAGGGATTTTCTTCTTTTGCAACTCTATTTACTTAGTTGACTTACAAGGGTGTTTCTTTCGGATGGTTAGACTATTGTAAGAAGTGGTATCTGAAGCTCAAGGTTGCTTTAACTATCGCTCTAGTGTTGGTGTTGCCCTCAAGTTTGGGGCCTTATACCGTGTATTGTGATGCTTCGCATATTGATCTTGATGCAGTTTTGATGTAGGATGGTAGGGTGATTGCCAACGCGTCTTGGCAGTTGAAGATTTACGAGAAAATATCTAGTTCATGATTTGGAGTTGGCAGCTGTTAGAGGCATTACTTGTATGGCGTGTCTTGCGAGGTGTTCACCATTCATTGCAACACTTGTTCAAGCAAAAGGATTTTAATTTAAGGCAATAGAGGTGGTTTTAGTTGCTTAAGGATTATGGTATCACTATGTTATATCATCCGGACAAAGCGAATATGCTAACAGATGCTTTGAGTAGGAAGGTGGAGAGTATGGAGAGTTTGGATATAATTCCAGATGTGGAGAAGCCTTTGGCTAAGGCTCTTCAGGCCTAGCCGAACTGATATGTGAGATTGGATATTTCTGAGCCTAATAGGTTCTTGCTTGTGTTGTTGCTCAGTCGTCTTTGTTGGATCGTATTAAGGCTCGTTATTATGATGATCCTCATTTGTTGGTGCTTACGGATACGGTGTAGCGATGTTGTGTAAAGAAGGTGGTTATTAGAGATGATGGTGTATTGCGGCTTCAAGGTCGCCTTTGTGTTCAGAATGTTGATGGATTAAGAGAGTTGATTCTTGAGGAGGCTCATAGTTCGTGGTATTTTATTCCTCCAGGTGATACAAATATGTATCGCGATTTGAGACAGTATTATTGGTGGAGGAGGATGAAGAGAATTGTGGAGCATGTGTTGTGGTGTATGGATTGTTAGCAGGTCAAGTATGAGCATAAGAGACCGAGTGGTTTACCTCAGAAGATAGATATTCTGCAGTGGAAGCGTGAGCGCATCACTATAGATTTTATGGTAAGGTTACCATGGATATTGAGGAGACTTCATGCTATTTGGGTCATTGTTGATAGATTGACCAAGTCCGCATATATTATTCTAGTGTCGACTATTTATACTTCGGAGAAGTTGTCTTAGATCTACATTTGTGAAAATGTTCATTTGCATCGTGTGCGTATTTCCATCATTTAAGAATGTGGTACTCAGTTCACGTCATACATTTGGAGAGCAGTTCAGCACAAGTTGGGTACACATGTGGATCTTAACATGACTTTTCATCCGTAGATCATCTCGATCTGAGCGGACTATTCAGAGTCTCAAGGACATGTTGAGAGCTTGTGTGATTGACTTTGGAGATCATTCAGATTAGTCCTTATTGTTGGTGGAGTTTTCATACAACAACTACTAGTCCGGCATTCAGATGGCACCCTATGAGGCTTTATATTGCAGGCGGTGTCGATCGCTAATTGGTTGGTTTGATCCTAGTGAGGCGAGGTTGGTAGGTACAGATTTGGTTCGGGATGTCTTAGATAAGGTGAGATTGATTCAGGATCATCTTCGGGTAGCTTAGAGTCGGCAAAAGAGTTATGCAGACAAGAAGGTTCACAATGTGTCTTTTATAGAGGGTAAGAATGTGCTTTTGAAAGATAGGTCGCACATTTTGGACTACAGCACGGTGCAACTTGAGAATTTGACTTATAAAAAAAAGTCGGTAGCTATTCTAGATAGGCATGTTCGAAAGTTGAGATCTAAGGAGATTGCTTCAATGAAGATGCTATAGAAGGGGCAGCTCAGAGAGAAGGCTACTTATGAGATCGAGTCCAATATGAGGAGTAGATACCTGCGTCTTTTCAACAGTTTAGGTACATTTCTAGTCCGTTCGAGGACGAATATTTCTTTAAGAGGTGAATAATGTAACAACCCAACTAATCATTTTGAGTTTTGCACTCCGTTTTGCAATCTGAGACTTCGAGTAGCTTCAATTGATGTTTTATGACCTACGTGTATGGTTGGTTTCGATTTTTAAGAAGTCCAGGTGTGTTTTAAAAGAAGAATTTTTTAGAAGCCTTAAGCTGCTAGAGTTGATGAAGGCCAACATTCTTAGTAAACGACCCTGGATTGGTGTTTTGAAGGTTCCCTTAGCTTCGTATGATGATTTTGAACTTGTATGTATATTTGGTTCGGGTGACCCATGGTTATTTTGGCACTTCTACTCAAAAGATAGAAATTTGAAGTTAAGAACTTTTGAAGTTCTTGAATTGATGGTTGATTCCTTGTTTTGATTTTTTTTAATGTTATGATCCCTCGAGCAAGTTTGTACACACTACATTGACTAGTTAGGACAATTGGACGGGGTCGCGGGGAGCTCAGGTGAGTTTCGGGGTGGTTTCTAGCCATTCTTGCACTTAATGTAGCAGTTTTCTACTGCTGGTATGCAGTGCTTTGTGATCGCGGAGAAGGTCTCGCGATCATAGGGTGTTTCTGCTCAGCGGGAAATCTCCTTTCACGAACGCATAAGGTAGGTCGCGAACGTAGAATTTCTAGGGGAAATGACCTTCGCGAACGCGAAGGCTTCCAGCACTGCCTTTGCAAACGCGACAAGAGTGTTGCGAACGCGATGCACCTAGAGCCCAGGAGTATAAATAGTATTGAAAATTGGGATTTAGCCATTATCCACTCTTTTTTAGACCTAGACCATGGATTGAGGTGATTTTTGAGAAGATTTTCACCCCAACTTTAAAGGTTAGTAATTCTAACTAAATTTTGACTTATTATCATGATTCTCCATAGTTTTTAACCCCTAAAGCAAGGATTTTAATGTGTAGAGAATGTGTTTTTGGATTTGAACTTAAGAGAGTGAATTTTGGGAGTTGGGACCTCAATATTAGGTCGGACTTTGAATCTAATTATATATTTGGATTTAGAGATGAATGAGTAATCGGCAATCGCTTCGATTTTGGATTTGGACGAAATTGAGAGTTCATTAAAGATTAAACCTTTATTGATTAAAGGTATTTCTTTTAGCAATATTTGACTTTCTTAGACCATATTCGGCTAGGTTTTGGTTGTTTGATTGAGGATTTCAAAGGGAAAGCGGTATTTGAGGGTTGAAGCTTTGTCTGTAGAAGGTAAGTCTCTTGGCTAGCCTTGTAAGAAAGAATTTCTCCCCTAGATGACTTATGTGCTATGTGTTATTTGTACTGGGGGCTATGTATATACGAGGTGACGAGCGTATATAAATGTACTTGTATTTTTTACCATGTCTGGGTAACTTATGCCTTTATTATGCCTTGTTTGGACTAAATAATTTACTTTCACATGCTTATTTGTCTTCCATGACTACTTGGCTATTTTTATTCACATTTGAGACCATGATTCCCACTTTGTGAGATTTTACTAGGTCGTTGTTGTTGTTGTTATTGTATTTGAGACCATGATTAGAAGTATAGTTATGTAATGAATATTTTGGGCTATTGGGATATGTTGATTTATATGATTCAGGAGCCTCAAGTCGCATGGTGAACAGTCATAGTTTGTTGACTGATGTTAAGACACTTGATAAAAATAAAGGTGGCAAGGTGCATTACCTACTGGAAATGTAGCTCATGTCACGAATGTAGGTTCGGCTTATGTTCGTAAGAACCTAAAATTAACTAATGTACATACATGGCTTCAAATACAATCTCCTGTCTGTCTCAAAGCTAACAAAGGAGATGAAGTGGGTAGTCATGTTCTTTCCTGATTTCTTTATTTTTCAGGATCTCTTCGGTGGACAGGTGAAGAAATAGGTAGAGAGGAAGATGGTTTTTATGTCTTCAACTCCAACTCAGGAAATGAAGGTGGATTACAAGTATCAGGTGTAGAAGTCAAGAGTTCAATTTCAAGATTAATGCATAACTTTAAATACAATAAAAGTTCGTAGAGTAATAAATGTAGCTTTATGGAAGAGGAGGTTAGGACATGTTCCTTTAGATACTATGAAGAAACTAAACGACTTTCAAACTGTTGGATGTAATGATGTTGCCAAGCATTGTATTGTCTGTCCATTGGCTAAACAAAGCAGATTGCCTTTTCCTTTGAGTACTATAGTTTCTGGTTCTTGTTTTTATATAATTCACGGTGAAGTGTGGGGTCCTTACAGAGTTCCTACTTATGATGGAAAGAGATATTTTCCGACTTTGGTAAATGATCATTCCTGATATACATGGGTCTTTCTTTTGCCTACTAAGGCTGAAGTGATTGTTTCTCTTAAATCTTTCTTTTTCATGGTTAAGAATGTTTATCCTTCTTCATTTTAAAAAAAAGAATGTTTATCCTTCTTCTGTGAAATATTTAAGGTCTGCAATAGGTGTGAAATTTATATCTCATAAATGACTAAGTTACTGCAGACGCTAGGCATTGTTCATCAAAGTTCTCGTGTGAACACTTCACAACAGAATGGAGTAGCTGAGAGAAAACACATGTATATATTGGAGGTGGCAAGAGCACTCAGGCTCCAAGCTGCAGATCCATTAAAATTCTGGGAAGAATGTGTCATCACTGTTGTGTATATCATCAATAGACTTCCATACAATATACTTAAAAGCAAATATCTATTTGAGGTTATGTTTAGTCATTCATCTTCTTTGAATCAGATGAAGGTTTTTGGTTGTTTGGGGTATGTGATTGAGGTTATGAAGGCATACAAATTCTCTCCAAGAGTTGCAGTCTTTCTTCGGTATTCTGTTACTCAAAAAGGTTACAAAATGTTTGGAGTTGATTCCAAAGAGTTTATAGTTAGCAGGGATGTAATGTTCAAGGAAAATGTTCAAGAATCTTAGCACAACAGATTCTTCTTTATTTCTTGTTTTGGATTTTGTATATGTTCTTCATTCAGGAGATGCAAGGCACAGTCCTATCTAGTCCCTTGAAGTTCATCCTACTGACATTCCTAATACTAATGATGTTCTTGTGTCTGCTCCATCTAATGATGATCCAGGTGTTCCTATGATTGCAGATTCAGCAATTCCAATTGCATCTACATATCCTCCCAATGAAAGCAGAAAATCAAGTAGAGCTACTATACCTCCCATCTGGACGAATGACTAAATTACTCCTGCTCATTGTTGCTATCCTATCTCAGACTGTGTGAGCTATGCAAATGTGTCCCCCCAGTATGGCACTACACTAGCCACCTACTCAGCTATAGTTGAACCAACTTCCTATACTAAAGCAGTCAAAGATGCCAAATGGATTGAAGCAATGGAGGCTGAGATCTCTGCACTGGAGAAAAATAACACATGGAGCATTATAGAACTTCCTCTAGGGAAGGTTGCTATAGGCTGCAACTGGGTGCTCAAGGTTAAGTACATGGCCTCAGAGGCTGTGGAGTGATATAAAGCTAGGCTTATAGCTAAAGGTTACAACCAACAGGAGGGACGAGACTACACTGAAACCTATTTCCCTATGGCCAAGATGGTCACAGTAAGGTCAGTGTTAGCAATAGCAACAACCAAGAATTATTGCATCTTTCAAGTGGATGTACACAATGTTTTCCTTCAAGGAGATCTCCTAGAGGAAGTATACATGGATATTTCACAAGGATTTGTTAGCCAGGGAAGGAAGCAGAGAGTCAAAACTATACAAGTCCTTATATGGACTCAAGCAAGCTCCCATGCAGTGGAATAAGAATCTAACAGATGCTTTGTTACAACTTGGATTCACTCAAAGTCACTTCGACTATTCACTCTTTACAAAGGAGGTGCAGGCTGAATTGGTCGCGGTGCTAGTGTATGTTGATGATCTCTTAATAACAGGCAGTGATTCTGGTTTGATCATGAAGACCAGAAATGATCTGAAGCACAAGTTCAAAATGAAAGATCTGGAAGAACTTAAGTTCTTTTTGGGAATAGGATTTGCTAGATCAAGAAATGGAATTGTAATTAACCAGAGAAATTATGCACTAGAACTGATGGCAGAAATGGGACTTAGTAGTGCTAAACCAGCTGGTACACCTCTGGAAACTAATGTGAAGTTGACATCTGTTGAATATGACAACTTCATCAGCAGGAACTCATCTGAAGCATAGCTTTTTCTATCTGAATGGAGATATATTATATGGGGGGTGGCTAGCTAGGTTGAAGGAAGAGAGAAAGAGAATGCATTAATATGGGTCAAAACTAATCCTTAATCTGTAGGTGTGCGTTTATGTTGAAAAATACTACTATAACATTAAATAAATATGTTATTTTTGAAATAAATCAGAAGTGATGATACGTTCAATAATAGTCTTAATTAAGTGTTGTAGCATGTAAAAATCTCTTTTCTTCTCTCTCTTTCAGGTGAAACATATACTCAAAAAAGTGGAAAAGGAAAAAACAAAAAAGAATTACTAACACTACCATTTCCAAGATATTTCTTAGTTTTGATATTTATTTAAATTAAATGATTGGTATGGTTTATAAGTTAAGGTTAAATCTATATCAAGTGAACAATGCACACCTCCTGATATGCTATTAATATAGTTATATTAATATTCTGAATTCTTACAAATCAATTTCGTAATAGTATTGTTACTTGATTGATCTATGACTGAAAGTAAATAAAGAGACAAATAATACTTGATCCGGGCTAACAGATGCATCATTCTTGAGCGTTCAGGATCTACTATTTCGTAATAATAAAGTTATCCACAAATTCTGCTAAGATTTTGATTCATCACTTTAAGGCAAGTCTGACTTACCATCTGATCACGTATTTACATTTACATGATCACTCAGTTGCTTACTGAAACAAATAAAAAGAGAGAGATAAACCTAAGCAAGGGAAATTGGTTTAACGAGGTGTTCTATGACTAAGAAATATTAGCTTCCATTGAGAATTAAGGTACATAATTAAAGAGGTTTTAGAAAGAAAGAAAAAAAGAATCAATGGTAATGTTGGCATAAATCATGATTTAATCACATGCGATCTCTTTTTGGTATGAAATATTCAATCACTTTTGAAAGTAAACAACAAATCAACTTCGACCATCAAACAACAATCACATACAAATCCAGAAGAACCAAAGGACAAGTTATCCAGTGTACCGCAAGGTAATGAATATAAAATATTTTACTAAAGTAAAATACGAAGTCTGAAAAATGGAGATTATGTAATCATAAGAAACAAAGAAATTTCAGTAGAGATTTTCTTAAACTGGCAAAGCGTACAAAGTTTGGAAGAACTTACACGAAGATGAACTTCCAAATGGCTGATGCAACTTTTGGGTGAAGTGAATGTGCTTCTTTCCCTCTGTTGCTGCTCCTTTAATTTGATTAGCAGATTCCAGTGTTGCTGTGAGCTTTACCCCATTTTGCATTTCTTTTTATTTTTTTGCAACAATTATTTGTTTCAATGATTATTGTTTGACTATTTTGTGTGTATACGGATTCGGCTTCTCTTATTTTTTATTGTCTTCATTTTTTAAAATTTTTGTCTGAATCTATATATATATATATATATATATATACT